GGAATCAAAAGGTAGAGAATTAGAGCTTTGGCAATATTTGTTAAATTAGTATAAATATATTTGCTTAGATTAGTAGTTCTATATATTATCATTTTAAAACTTTACATCAAGGAAAAGATGAGACTCTGGTAGCCAGCCAGCTATATCCTCACAGCCAGTTTCTTAAATGCTTTTTTATTTACTTCTTTTGAGAGAGACAGAGAGAGAGAGAGAGAGAGAGAGAGAGAGAGAGAGAGGAGGCCAATAAGAGTTTCTTTATGAGATTCAAGCATGAGTGAGCATGAGTGAGCATGAGTGGAGGGAGGGAGAGAGAAGAGAAAGAATCCCAAGCAGGCTCTGTGCTGTCAGCACGAGCCCCATGAAGGGATCACTCTCAGGAACACCATGAAATCATGATCTGAGCCAAAATCAAGAGTTAGATGCTTAACCAACTGAACCACCCAGGCGTTCTGGCTTTTGTGTAGCACGTTTACATTCAAGATCTTTTTTATCTATGTACACACCCAAAACAAATCTCTAATGGCTATACCATTAGCTGACTGAAGTTGGAAATTTTTCACCCAACAGGGGATGCTCAAAGCAAACCATCCTGTGTCACATCATGTCAAATCCTTGACCAAACTGCCTCTAGTCTTTCAAAAAAAAATATGTGCAAACATTAGTTGCACAATAGACTGTGATTCATCTTAAAAAAAAAAAAAACAACTGTATTTTTACTCTGAACACATACACTAACTTTCTCAGAATGCCTTACCATTTAAACACACATTTTAGGGGCACCTGGGTGGCTCAGTTGGTTAAGCGTCCGCCTTCGGCTCAGGTCACGATCTCACGGTCTTGTGAGTTCGAGCCCCGCATCGGGCTCTGGGCTGATGGCCCAGAGCCTGGAGCCTGCTTCCGATTCTGTGTCTCCCTCTCTCTCTGCCCCTCCCCCGTTCATGCTCTGTCTCTCTCTGTCTCAAAAATAAATAAACGTTAAAAAAAAAATTAAAAAAAAATAAACACACACATTTTAATGTTTTGTACTGACAAAGAAAAACTCTCCATTATTTTATGGGGCAAAACAAAAAATCTGAAGCTAAAATATCACATTATATGATATTCTTCATGCCAATTCTCTGCATTAAAAAAAAAAAAAAAAAAAAGAGTTGACCCTATATAAATCTTCCCCATTCACAAATACATACTCACCCTTTGGGGAACATAGAGACAAGAACAAGGACAATCAAATCAAGACCTTGGTTCCTCTAAATGAAAAAGCCTTTTTTAGAGAACATTTTCACATAAATGAGAATGCACCTTAAACAGGTTTTAAGTTAGAGCTCAAAACAATGTGTCAGCTACAGTACTACCTTCTTGAGCAGACTCTGTATCTCCTTGTTTCTTTTATCTAATTCCCATCCCTCTACATCCAAAATATAAACTTAAATATTAAGTTTGTTCAGGAACAAGTCACTAACAGCCTCTCTAGAAAAGAATGAAATGGTCAAATGAAGTTGTACATGCTGACTGGTCCTTCCTTGCTCTAATCCAAAACATGTACTTTAATACAGTTTTTTAAAATTTATTAACGTAGCTAAATATCAAGACATACCTCGATTACAACATTTATGTAGTTAACTTTCACAAAATTGGAACATAGCATTATCCATACCATAACTCCATAAATTGAGTTTTTTTGTTTTAGCCAGAATTCAATAAAATATGGACTCAATAGGCTTTTCGAACATGTATATGCAGAACAAACTCATGGTTACCAGAGGGGAGGGGGGATTGGCAAATTGGGGGAAAGGGAATGGGAAATACAGTCTTCCAGATATAGAGTAAGTTACAGGAATAAAAGGTATGTACAGCACAGGGAATATATGCAATGCTATTGTAATAGTGCTGTATGGGGACAGATGGTAACACTTGTAGTGAGCAAAGCATAATGTATAAAATTATCAAGAATCATTATATTATACACCTGAAACTAATGTAACATTATGTGTCAACTACACTTAGACAGCAACAAATTTTTTTACAAATGTATATGCTTACTGACAGAGGACAGAGTTAAGATGAAGTATTCAACACAAGAGTAAAACATAAAATTTCAATGCCTATAAGTATATCCTTCAATCTAGTATTTATACAAATATTTTTATTTTAAAAGTAATCATCTGAATGAAAAAGGCATTTAAATTCAGTTTTCTGAGGGCCAACGAAGAAAAAAAGTATACTAAAATGGGGTCAGCAAAATTTTTCCATAAAGGGCCAAGAAGGAAATATGTTAGGTTGGGTAGGCTACATGGTCTCCGTTCTAACTATTCAACTCTGCCATTGTCTCATGACAGTAGCTACAGGCTGTGTTCCAATAAAACTTTATTTATAAAACAAGGTGGCCAACTGGTAGTCTGCCAACTCCTATACAAAAACAGATATTCTATCATGACAATGTTTATGTGCACACCTTTGATGCAAGGCTGATGTGAGACATGTTACTCTAAATGACTATTCTCACACAATAATTTCTTTTTGGTTAGGAGGTAAAGTATCACCTGCATTTAAAAAACAGAAACCAGAGGTGCCTGAGTGCTCAGTTGGTTAAGTGTTCCACTCTTGATTTCAGCTCAGGCCATGATCTCAGTTTGTGGGATCGAGCCCCACATCAGGCTCCAGGCCAACAGCACGGAGCCTTCTTGGGATTCTCTCTCCCCCCCATTCTCTGCCTCTCCCCCACTCCTTCCCCCCTCCAATAAATAAACTTAAAAAAAAAATCTAAAAAACAAAAACCTATGTGTGCTAAAAAAAGTTATGATTTGAGAGAAAAACTGATCTCTGTATAATCTCTATGACAAGAGACAGAAAATCTACAGGAAAGGGGGGAGGGAGGAAGGGAGCTGGAAGAATGTAGAGAAGCAAGGTAAACAATATTGTCCCATAATCTGTATTCTCATAATTATTTGCAAAAGTTGTTAACATTCAGAGTGTAACATTTGTGGCCTCAAGAAGCTCAGGACATAAAAGAACAAACTTATCTTTTGCCTCTGTACTCTGAAACCTTCAACATTAAGGGCAGATGGGATTTAACCATATATTTTAAAAGATGCTCAAAACCTAGGCTTCAACATTTTTAATGAAGACTTACACTTTTATAAACAGAAAAGACTTCACAAAATAAAATTCTATCCAGAATTCTATTTTTTGTATTCTTTTTCTGTATCAACTCTGCATTCCTATCAGTAACTATGGCTTACTATGGGCACACAGCCTCTTAAAAGTATTTGTCAGAACCTTGTTGGGGATGGTAGTTCTGAACTGGAAAAATCCTTAGATGGTTCTGATTCCTCCCTCCCTTCCTTCCCCACCCTGCAATCCATATTCCAAGAAACCCTTCTTTATAGCACAATCGTCTCTCAAAATACACAAAGGCAGGTTTCTCACTGACAAAGCAGAATCCTGAACCTTAAAATATACTAAAAGTAATGAATCTGTGTGCCTTCCTACACGGTAGGCTCTATCATCAAAAGGTTAAGTTTGTGTAGAAAAAAAAAAGTCCATGTATGCAAGCATGAATTAACTACACCTTTATGCTCAGGTCCAGGTCCATGATTAATTAGAAAAATGAATTTACTTCAATAAGGAATAAACTTCTAGGCAAAATTATAGTTACTTAAACTTTAACAAGTTTAAGAACTGAAAAGCATGTTCCACATTCTGGAAATAAAAGCACTCCTAACCAGGAACTATATTTAAGATTTTCTCAAGAAAAAATCCAAGGGACTCCATTAGCTTAAGTCACCGTAGATGGTATATAAATGTATGTGTCCAGTTATGTTCCCATAAAACTTTACAAACATAGTCAGTATAGAACTTTGCCTTCAGGCAGAACTTTGCCAAAACCCTGCTCGAAACAGCCTTGTTTTAAAACCAGTATTCATTAGATACTAAAAGACTGAAGAATTCAAGAGCTATACTATCTACATACAATTGCTCCGCTCTATCAAGTTTCTTCTACCTGACATGAAAAGTGCTACAAACAGTGAGATGTCAAAACTGCTGACAGGAAAGGGAAGAAAGGTCAATATTTTAACAAAACCTATTTCCTAGACAATCAACTGCATTTAGATCATTCATTCAACAAACATTTGTTTAGGACACATGGTTCCCTGGCCTTCAAGGTCTCTCAGGAAGACAACACATGCATACAAACAACTACTACTCATGCCAGCTAAGTGCTACATGATGGTACAAGTAACTACTAGTATCTGAAAAATGCTTCATGGTTTAACATGTTTCCATATATGCTTCTTCATGAAGCCTCATAGCCCTGTAAAGTATATAAGCCACTTGGTATTGTTCTTATTTTACATAAACCTCCTAAGTAGTAAAACTAGGATTTGTACCTCTGACACTACTGCACTACACTTCTTCAGAGCAGCTTTATGCTAGGGGTCGATGACAGAGGTGGAGGCATTTGGACTGAGCCTCAAAGAATGAGCAGGATTTTGACAGGTGAAGAGACCAAAGTATTACAAAGAAATGATATACACAGAAGTCTAGAAGCAGGGAAATACAACATGTGAAAAACAGGCAAGGGAAATATGGCTAAAGACGGGTTGAAAGCATGAGGAGAGCTTTAAGTACGTGATTTAGCATCTGTACAAGACACTATAGGCTATCAGAAATCGGATGGTTTGGGAGAGAGAAGGAAGAAAAGAACATAAATGAAGCTCTTACTATGTGTTTGGTACTTTGCAAAAGAATTGCCTCATATGCAGGGATTTTTAAGTTATGAGGTAGTGTTATAGGGAGATGAGACTTTCCTAAATCCTCTGCAGGACTGAAAACATGGGACTAACAGAGGGGAAAGCAGTAGGCTACCTCTGTAGTTTTGGCATGAGGAACAGAGAATGTAAAGTGATGGTTCTTACAGGTCCCCCACAGTACCTCACCCCCAAATTTAAACCCAGGTCTTGAATTACCTTAAATTTTCCTACATTTTATCTAAAACTTACCGAATCTTCTGGAGGTCTCTGGATTTTCCCCCAATCCACAGAAGGTCCCTTTTCTTGCAAAAATCGATGGAATAGCTTCCGAAATCCATCAAGGTCTTTTTTAGTGTGCTATGAAAATAGAAGTTCTTGTTACAATGAGCAGAATACTTAATTTTAATATAGATATGTATTATACATTTAAAACACCTTTCAATTATTACACTATTAGAACATGGAGTACAGCAGAGACTTTTTTATGCCCCCAACTTAAAAGTGAAGGGGAAGAAAAGCTAATAGGAACCACACTTAAAGGAATACAAGCAAATAATCCCCAAATCTTCCAGCAGTTATCATGTAAACAACACCATTTGGTCCATGGGAATTTCAATTGGTTCTCTACATTTATTTGCCAGTACTTTTTTTCTACTTCTTTTAAGTGAAAATTCACTTTCACTGAAAGAAAAAGTAACAAAACACAGTTAACCTCAAAACATTAAGTACAAACTGAAATTTGAAAATGAAAAGGATGATCTATTGATTTATAAACAGAAAAGTAAAAATACCTGTCTACACTGGGAAATCTCTACACAGCTGACAAAGTAGCATGGTTCTATTAGAACTGGCTCTCTGGAAAAAGGCATGCAGGTTGTATGGTTGATAATTCTAACTGAGTACTGTTACCCATTTTTTTTACCCAACGATACTAGAACACAAAAAAAATAATTTTTTGTTCTGATTCTTTAGACTTTAGAAACTTCCTTGAATTAAAAAAAAAAAAGACAATGGTTTAACAAGGGGAAAATGTTGAAAATCCTTAATTGTTAAGCAATCCTACTTTTTTTAATGCTATTATATTTTGTGCTTATTTCAGGCTGGATGATCAACAGCAGCAATAACAACTCAGCATTGTAGATGGATGGAAGCAAGAAACACTGCAGAGTCCTTACCTCAAACTCATGTGATGGCGCTGTGGTAAGTATTTTTTCCAGTTCCTTCTTCACAGATAATTCTAGCTCTTGTCGAATGACTTCTTGGAACTGAGAAGCACCATCCTGAGACATGGCTTTGCTAAGATCTTAAAAATATAAAATCGCCAACAGAAAAAAAATCAGACAGCCATTCAAATAGCTGGTAAGCTAGAACTGATTTATTTCTAGTTTATCAGAACATGAAAAGGTTCACTCCTTTAGTCCCATTATCCTCTCGAAGGATATCAGTAGTGTCAACTAATTAGAGCTATATAATCACATGGCCTCAAATTTGTTACATCTACCTGCATTACTAGTGTATCTGAGACACTAATAAATGCTTTTGGGAAGATGGGGCAGGTGGGAATAAAAGGATTAATCTTCATTTGGGCATTTAGTTCTATCTCTACTAATGTTTCCCTCTTAGCCATCAAAGCTGGAGAAAAATGAGAGGTGGAATAATGTTAATAAAGGTATGTTTTATGGTACATGCTCTTATGGAACTGCTGCCAGATAAAAGAACGGAAAGGGCTTAGCAATTTCACAGAAACAAACAAAACAAACAAACAAACAAAAAAAAACCGTTCCCTTCCAGGCCAGATGAAAAAAAATTAAGGAATTCTTTCCATTTTAGAAGTGAAGCCCTCCAGTTTCACATTCCTTATTAAAGAAAAACCCGTTAGAGATACTGGCAATTCCCAGGTGCCTGTATGTGTCTGGCATCAAAATTTTCACTTAAAAGGAGAACACAGTGCTCCCTGCCCACTTATTGCCCTCAGTTTTAGCCTAGACTCTTCAGTGCTTATCTGTGTCAGACAATACTATCAGGGCTTTTGGCATAGACGGTCATCTCTGGCCACAGATGGATCTCACTACAGGTGACTCACTAAAGGTAACAGAAATGCCTGATGGACGTAAACAAGTAAAAACAGAAAAATACGCAACAAGAAAACATCCCAAGCCTAAGCACCTTGGGAGAAATATGCCAACACAAGTTGTTTTACATGCTCAGCTATCTAATTATCTTGTCTTTTACTTATGAAATAAGGAACAGTCAGACTACTGTTCACATCACCTTTTCTCTTCAATATGCAACTCAAACTTATTTTATAAATGTAGTTTTGAAGCTTATGTTCAAACATTTTGTTTGATAACTAGTTCTACAAATGGTGATTAATTTACCAGAATCATTTCAGTGAAACTAAAAATACTCACACACACCATAAATTCTTTTATTTGTTATCTGGGCAGAAGAAAACATTTATTCATACAGAATTAAAGCCAACATAACCAAAAAGATACTTGTGAGAGCATAAGTTAGTAAATTATGTAACTCCTGAAGCAATTTATTTAATGTAGACAGCTTCTCCTCCTAAATACCTACAAATGTTAACAAATGAGATATTTAACATTGCTCTTCAAAAACCTTTTAAAATACATTTCCTGTAATATTAAAATCCAAGGGAGGGGAAAAACAAGGAAATTAGGTGAGAACACACAATCTAATCCTAAAATAGCTGTTTTCTAACTGTGCCTTTTTTTTTGAGAGAGAGAGAGAGAGATAGAGAGAATGAGCAGGGGAGGGGCAGTGAGAGAGGGAGACAGAGAATCCCAAGCAGGCTCCCTGCTGTCAGTGCAGAGCCCCCGACGCCCATGAACTGCAAGATCATGACCTGAGTCAAAATCAAGAAGTCAGACGCTTAACCAAACGAGCCACCCTGGCACTCCTAACTGTGCTCTTTTCCTAGGCATAAACCACAACACAACTAAGTTTATGGACTCCAGTAAAACTTTAAAGTGACCCAAATAGCGGTTCATAAATAACTTCTTTGTGAGCTAAGAAACACACATGTGTGTTTCATAAACAACCTAAATGTATGTTTCCACTAGTAAGTAGCAACTTGATTATCATCTGTTCACAACTCCTAACAATGGATGAGTAGGTTTACATAACTATGATAGGTAACTAAAAAACTCCTGTAGAACATTTTAAACTAGAGTTAGTGTGACATCAACTATACACATTCACCTCTTGGTTGACTTAATTGCAATTTAAAATTTATCACAGGTTAAGTATCCCCCAACCCTGCTGCCCCAGCAGTTAAATGAGTTATCCAAGGTTACAGAACCAGCTAATTGCTGGAGCTCAGAAGCAGTATACCTGGGGTATCTCTCCCACAATCTTTAAGCCAACTCCCATGTTAATGTTTAAGAAATAATTTGCAAGAAAATTCTACTAAACATAAGCATAAATCCTCTAAATTAAGGAACACATGAATTCTTTGATTCTGTGTGACTGATGGATTAAAATAGATCAAGAAATTTATAAGGATTTTTAAAATAAGGGTTTTTTGTTGGACTCAAAGACAGCTAACAACAGCCTTGCTGCTTTGTTGAAGTTATATCCTGAAAGCCAGTATTCAGTCACATTCCTAAAAAATTAGTGATGGAAACATTTAACCTATATTCTACGCAAATGCCAAAATGAGATAATTATAAGTGTAACTGTAAAGTTCAAAAATAATTATTAATAGCTGTTTGAGATTTGTCTACATGAGAACAGGAAAACCAAACAAAACACCAAACAAAAAACCCCACCAAACTTGGGAGACTCCCTCTACAGAACAACGGCCTATCAATCTACATGATTTAAGGCCAAAACACACAGAACCCATGTTACTATCCTCCCTATGAAGCCAAGGTAAGAAAGGTTGGCTGAAAGACATTTAATAGTACATGTGATCTTTGCCAGGTGCAGCAGGTCCAAACTTACGATAGGATTCAAAAAAAAAAAAAAAAAAAACCCAGATTCAAACTCAAATTGTAACAAATGTCTGTAAGAGTTATTCCTCCCTATTCTTCCATTTCTTTGATATAGCACCAAACACAAAGAACAATTTGTATTCCCTCCAGTCACTCTACAGACATGAACAGCTTACACAACAAAAGAATATTCTAAGGAGCCTATCACCTCTTCCACCCTGTTTCACTGCTGTTTCCAACACCATCCTCTGGGCAGTGCTACTACTGAAGTTTTGTTTTTTAGTGACTAAAGAATAAAGAAGGACTTGGGAATGCAAGCTGGTGCAGCCACTCTGGAAAACAGTATGGAGGTTCCTCAAAAAACTAAAAATAGAACTACCCTACGACCCACTAATTGCACTACTAGGCATTTACCCACGGGATACAGGTGTGCTATTTCAAAGGGACACATGCACCCCCATGTTTATAGCAGCACTATCAACAATAGCCAAAGTATAGAAAGAGCCCAAATGTCCATCAATGGATGAATGGATAAAGAAGATGTGGTATATATACAATGGAGTATTACTCGGCAATCAAAAAGAATGAAATCTTGCCATTTGCAACTACGTGGATAGAACTGGAGGGTACAATGCTAAGTGAAATTAGAGAAACACAAAAATCATATGACTTCACTCATATGAGGACTTCAAGAGACAAAACAGATGAATATAAGGGAAGGGAAACAAAAATAATATAAAAACAGGGATGGGGACAAAACAGAAGAGACTCATAAATAGGGAGAACAAACTGAGGGTTACCAGAGGGGTTGTGGGAGGGGGGAAGAGCTAAATGGTAAGGGGCACTAAAGAATCTACTCCTGAAATCACTGTTCCACTATATGCTAATTTGGATGTAAATTAAAAAATAATAATAGGGGCGCCTGGGTGGCTCAGTCGGGTAAGCGTCTGACTTCGGCTCAGGTCGTGATCTCATGGTTCAAGGGTTTGAGCCCCGTGTCAGGCTCTGTGCTGACAGCTCAGAACCTGGAGCTGCTTCAGATTCTGTGTCTCCCTCTCTCTCTGCCCCTCCCCTTCTTGCACTCTGTCTCTCTCAAAAATAAATAAACATTAAAATAAATAAATAAATTTAAGCTGGAAGAACAAGACTTTTGGAGACAGGTGTCTCCAGGTTACGCTGCAAATTTTGTTAATTAATTCTGAGGGACCGTGGGCAAGTTCTCTCTGTGGATTTCTTGTCTAGAATACGCTCCTTTTTGATGAGTAGCCAGCTATCAAGTTTTCACCATCCTGCCACCTCGGTCCTCACTTCTGCTTTGTGCACTGCAACCTGGCTTCCTGGGGCATGGTCTTTGGATATACTTCACATCAAATCTGAATTCCTGAAGGACCCATGCTCATTTTTGTAACTTCAAATTGGAAGTTGAACTAGAGGTTTTCACGGAAATCAGACAGATTCCACCTACACCTGCCTAAATAACCCAGAAAATCACCAGAGGATTAGCAGAACGGAGTCGCCGGAGCCAAGCGCAGACGAGAGGCCCACGGAAGAGGGTAGGAAGGGCGGCGAGGCGGTGCGCGCTCCACGGACTGGCGGGAGGGAGCCGGGGCGGAGGGGCGGCTCGCCGGCCAAGCAGAGCCCCCAAGTCTGGCTTGCAAAAAGCGGAGGGGCCTGACGGACTGTGTTCCGACAGCAAGCGCGACTTAGCGGCTGGGAGGTCATAAGTTAACAGCTCTGCTCAGAAAGCGGGAAGGCTGGAGGACAAAGGGAAGGAAAGCTGCTGAGCCCCCGGACCACAGAGCTCAGTTTGGTGGGGAACAAAGGCGCTCGCCAGTGCCATCTCCCCCGCCCATCCCCCAGCCAAAATCCCAAAGAGAACCAGTTCCTGCCAGGGAACTTGCTCGCTCCGCGCAAACACCCAACTCTGTGCTTCTGCGGAGCCAAACCTCCGGCAGCGGATCTGACTCCCTCCTGCTGCCACAGGGCCCCTCCTGAAGTGGATCACCTAAGGAGAAGCACGCTAAGCCTGCCCCTCCTGCCCCTGTGCACCTTGCCTACCCACCCCAGCTAA